GTGTTGTATTTCCTACATTTTTTACATTTTCCGTATTTTCCGCAAATACTATCCCTTTTATGATAAATAATATGTATGAGACTTGTATTAGTTTATTAGTTTTTTAAACTTATTAAATTTAAAAAGAGTAAAATGTATTAGCAGTAATACTGCCATGTAAATAATAGAAGCGCTGAATTTTTAATGATTAATTTGAATTTCTATCTATAAGAAAGTTTAAATTTATTCACCTCCTATTAAAAGCACGTAATCAATTAATCTAAATTAATATTTCATGAATAATTTGCAATAAAGTTTATACAGTACTCACAAGCTGAAAATTTAATATTCGTATAATCGATTAGAGGATATAATTATTAAATGCAAATTTAATAGAGCAAACTTGAATACTTACTCCCTTTAATGTATGTATAATTTAATATGTTAAAGTAAGTTAGAATGTAAAATTTAGTTTCAATAAATGGTATAAAGATTTATGCTAACCTCCTAATGATTCATTTGATTAAGACAAAATTAATGTAATAATAAATGCTGATTTTTAAAAACAAAGCAAATAAATTTTATACTCACTGAAAAATGTACAACATTGCTCTTTTGTACATACTTCTAATTATTATCATGAAAATTTTAAGGCAAGAAGTTATTAATAAAAGGAATGGTATTAATTTATATATCACGACGGATTTGTAATAAATGACCTTAAGAATAAGATATTTAAATACATAAAAGCGAATTAGTTAATAAAATAAAGCTTCACAAATAAATATAATAATTAATTCTCACTTGAATAATGATCTGTGGAATATTTCTAAAAAAAATGTCAAAGAACGCTCCACATATAATCGCGAATCTAAATATTTTCCTAAATGTATTAATTTGTTTGATTGTATTTTTAATTTGTTTGATTTCATCAGATTCACCAGACACATCAGATTCACCGGATTCATCAGATTCTTCAAATCTGGGCAGCACGTCTTTCAAAGTCTTTAATATATCAATTTGTTTGATTTTATCAGATTTATTGAATTCATCAGATATAGGCACGTCTTCTAAAATCTTTAAATACTCGTCAATTTCTGCTTTGGTCACATCTTTTATAATTGTTAGATACTTATAATCAATTGTTACTTTATTAAATAGAGGCACATTTTTCAAAATTGTCAGATACTCATAATCAGTTGTTGCTAATATAATGAATATAGCCACTAATTCTTGCTTATGTTTAACCCATTCTTTAAATTCTTTTCCAACAACAGGATCGTTAATTCCATTGTAGAAAGTATAAATAGCTATACTTAAATTTGCGAGTATCGAAATACTGAAAAAGATCACACTTTGTGCGTTTGTTGATTTAGCAAGAATAGCAAGAATTAAAAATAAGGTAATAAATTTTAACACTAATTTAGTTATATTTGATTAGGAATACCTTGACAAATAAAGCCCCTTTATATCATTAGAATTGTAGACGATAAAGAGAATTGAAAGAATAAAATTAGGGATGATGAATCCAAGCCTTAATATTGCAGAACTTATTGCTTCAAATTTTTTTGAGTGTAGTTTATAATTCAATATGTGATAAAATAAACATATTATTACAAAAATTGCAATTGCAGCAATTATTTGTAATTTGAATTTATCCCATGGACCCTCTATTATAAGGAAATTAGTCATGTGATTCACTCAATTATATAAATAATTGGAATATAATTATCAACTCACCTTGTGGTTGAAAGCCAAGAGTCGAGTTTAAATCATTTGTCACACCGGTGTGGAAAGTGGTAATTCCTTTGTTAAGAATCATATTGTTTAAGTTTGAAAATATTCCTGGAACTGTATTTTCGGTTTCATTAGTTGGCAAACCTATACGAATTGAAATGGCGATTTGACCAAATTCGTCGAAATACTGGAACTTCTTATTTGAACTTAAACGCTCCCGCCTAACCGGTATTTTGTGAGCAAGATCATTTAGTAGAGTATCAAAGTATTTTGACTGATTGGTTCTAGATAATTTTAGAAATTTTTTGGAAGCATCTATAGTGAGAACTGCTAAACCCTTAGCAGCAATTTCTACAAGGAAATATAATTAGAATCGTGTGAAACATATTGTACATAAATATAATTTCAATACAGTACCTGAAGGACGCGCTCTATAAACTAAATGATTTAAAAAATAAAACAGATAAAATAGATGGTATATTTAAAGGGTCCATATTATTTCACCGACAATCACTTCACGGACAACTTAATTCACCGACAATTAATTTACAGACAACTTTCTATGAAATGAACTTGTCTGTGAATTAATTATCGGTAAAGTAGTTTTCAGTGATTTGATTGCCATCCTATTTAAAAACAAATAAAAAATACGATTAAATTTACTTGATTTAAGAATCCAAACTCCACTTTCAATTCCTCTTAAAGGTTCATTATTAAATAAACTACTAGCTTTGACAAAATTTTTATCCACTTTCACATAATATTTCTCACCATACTCATTAAATGTGCTATCAATGATCCTTATATTGATAACACTACTACTATCTTCGCTAAGTTTACAGAACTCGGAGGTTACTGAAACACTTTGCCTAATGCTGTTATCAGAGGCTTTGTAGATGGTGATGTTGCCATTTGACAAATGAACGAAGATAGCGAAAGTGATGCTTATATAGGTCGTTGATGAATCGACAGTAAAATTAATGGACGGGGTAATATTGGCAATCATGATATCACCGTAATTATAATAACCACTAACTAAATATAGTGGTAAATAAAGAGTATCTATGAATAAGCATCTATGTAATGATTTATGAACATAATTTTAATTCCATCGATTTATAAATCATTCTGTACTCACCGGCTAAATTAATGCGGATGAATAATGAATGGCAAATAACGAAGTATTTACGAATTTATGAATAAGAAAGAGTATTCATGAATAAATATTATGCTCATGATTTTAATACCATCGATTCATTAGTCATATTTATACTCACGGACTAAATTAATTCGAATGAAACAATAAGGAAGGTTTACGAATTTATGAATAAGGGGGAGTATTCAGAGTAAGTATTTATTTCATGATTTTAATTCCATCGATTTATAAATAGCTTTATACTCACCGACTAAATTAATGTGAATGAAATAATGAATGATAAATAAGAAAGTATTTACGAATTTTTGAATAAGTATTTATGTTAATGATTTTTAATTCCATCAATTAATAAATAATTTTGTACTCACCGCCTAAATTAATGTGAATGAAATAATGAATAGTAAATAAGTATGTATTTATGAATAAGAAAAAGTATGATGAATAAGTATTAATGCTCATGATTTTAATTTCATCGATTTATAAATCATCTTTATACTCACGGACTAAATTAATGTGAATGAAATAATGAATAGTAAATAAGTATGTATTTATGAATAAGAAAGAGTATGTTGAATAAGTATTAATGCTCGTGATTTTAATTTCATCGATTTATAAATCATCTTGATACTCACGAACTAAATTAATGTGAATGAAATAATGAATAGTAAATAAATATGCATTTATGAATAAGAAAGTGTATGATGAATAAATATTTATGCTCATGATTTTAATTCCACGATTTATAAATCATTTTGTACTCACCGGCTAAATTAATGCGAATGCAATAATGAATAGTAAATCAGTATGTATTTATGAATAAGAAAGAGTATGATGAATAAGTATTTATGTTCATGATTTTAATTCCATCGATTTATAAATAATCTTTATACTCACGTTCTAAATTAATGTGAATGAAATATGAATAGTAAATAAGTATGCATTTATAAAAAGAAAGAGTATGATGAATAAGTATTTTATGTTCATGATTTTAATTTCATCGATTTATAAATCATTTTGTACTCACCAGCTAAATTAATGCGAATGAAATAATGAATAGTAAATAAGTATGTATTTATGAGTATGATGAATAAGTATTTATGTTCGTGATTTTAATTTCATCGATTTATAAATCATTTTGTACTCACCGCCTAAATTAATGCGAATGAAATAATGAATGGTAAATAAAGAAGTATTTACGAATTTATGAATAAGAAAGAGTACTCATAAGTATTAATGCATATGATTTTAATTTCATCCGATTTATAAATCGTCTTTATACTCACCGACTAAATTAATGTGAATAATGAATAATAAATAAGTATGCATTTATGAATAAGAAAGAGTATCATGAATAGTTTATGATTAATTACACCGATTTATAAATCTTTATACTCACAGTCTAAATATACGAATAAATAATGAATAATAAATATGGAAGTATTTACAAATTTATGAATAAGAAAGAGTATTCATGAATAAGTATTTATGTTCATGATTTTAATTTCATTTATTTAAAATCATTATACTCACCGACTAAATTAATGCGAATGAAATAATGAATAAAGTATTTGTGAATTTAGTATTTATAAATTTAATTCTATCGATTTATAAATCGTCATTATACTCACCCTCTAAATTAATGCGAATAAAATAATGAATAGTAAATAAGTATTAATTTTATGGGTAAGAATATCATTTATGAATAAGTATTTATACATACTCTCTTGAAGTTTAGGCAACTGAACAGCAAGCAAAGACCAAGAAATATTTAGACTATTTGTATTTCGTAGAGAGAGTAAAAGAGTATTATTATGTTTCAAGATACCATATGCACTAACACCAGTTGTATTAAAATACGTCAAATTAATCAGATTAGTTCCTGGATTTGAATACTCAGAAATATGAATAAAACAAGTGGTGGCTTTAACAGCAGACAATATGTATCCGCCAGTAGGTATTGAAAACACATTCCAGGGCACACCAATTTCATTGGGAGTTTTGATTGGATTCGAACTTAAAAATTTTTCTGTACAAAATTGAACTTCTTCATAGTGCACTGTGTTGTTGTAGATGATGGAAGCAATACAATAGTAACAAAATCCAAAATACGCATTACAATTAACTGCATTAATTTTCGTTTCAGGTTTAATTATTTGAAAGAGAGCAATAGTATTGCTCAAGAAAGTTTTGTTGTGATTTATAAAGCTGGCGTACAGTCCGCCAAGTGGACTCATAAAATCGCTTTCATTGTTTAAATATTTAGCATACAATATTGCATAACCTTTATCAACGGTGGCCAATGACGTAAAAAGGGTATAATTAGCGGTTGGTAGATGGAACTCTGATTGAACAGTATCATTATTTGATAAATTTCCGTTAACATCACTATAATTAATTACAATAGTTAATTTTATTGATTAAATAAAAAAAATAAGAGGATTAGAGGAGATTAAATACACTGAAAATCGCGAGCCACTGATGGAATTTCCATAGGAATTTACGTGAAGAAATAGTTCCTTGTTTATGTTTATTTCAATTAAACTTTTCATAGGCCAAATTTTTTTCTCAGGGGCATTAACAGAGGATGGTTCAAGTGATATGGAACTAGTAATTTAAAATAAATAAATAATGTTCACAGTTAGTTCATTATTAAAAATCTTTAAGTATTGTTGCTATTTCCACCTCCCATGCCACCAATTTTGACAGGGCGCAGGATCGATTTTACTGTCACATGATTCTCGGAAGACAAATGTTGCTAAGTTAAAAACTTCTTTTATATTTGAGTCAGAGTTCAGGGCAAGGTTAGAAAGGACTATAGCATAGCAAAATTACATAAGGAAAATTTTTTGTTAGGACTCCAAAGACGGTTTACTAGACTAAATTTTGAGATAAATGCGATTTTTGCAAAGCGAACGTTTTGTTTTGGATTTACGTTATACCTGATTCTGCTCTTTGATTGGCTGGCATATGTCGGAAATCATGTGACAGGAAAATCTATCCTACGCCCTGGCCACCTCTCATGAGTTTCCGACCCTCTTTTAACCCTAATCAGACGACACATGCCCAAAATTTTTATAGGAAAAATATACAAGGTCACGCAACTTATATTCGTGTAACATTTTATGAGTGTCGGATCATGTGGGGGTGGCATTAGCAAAAGTGGAAGGTCATTCTCTTAAGTATTTTGTAACATAAATTATCATCGACCTTAGTTTTTCGCCATTCCAATTAAGAACAGTTCCCCAGCTTTCATAATATGGATAATTTAATTTCATATAACTCACTAATATAAATGGTTTTTTTAAAGGTCGTATTGAGATAGGATTCACCATTTCGCCAGTAAGTATGTCGTTAAATAAACAATAATTCACAGAATCAAGATTTAAATCAGTATTAATTTCAGTGACGGAACCATTTAAATGGATAATTCTTATACGTAAGATGGGTTCAAAACAATGCTCAGTATTATTATTTCTAACAAGATGGATGAGAGTTGTCCCGTCACCATAAAATTGAATGTCAATTGCATAAGGTTGTGATTGGGAAAATGTAGTATTTTGTGTATTCTCTGTATAGTTAAAGTTTGTATATATAGTAGTGTTTGGTGTAATGTACAAGCTCGATTCCGCTGATATTGTTATAATTGAAAAGCTAATAAGAAATATAAAAAATAAACACGATTTGACAAGATTATAAGATTCTTTCATGATGAATCACTTAATAAAATTTTTATAAAAATTTTATATAGCATGCTAGAGTCTTAATCTCTTTATATAATATATTAATGCATAACAATATAGTAGATTGCATTACTTATACTTGTTTTCTAAACATATGCAGACAGAAATTAGGAACTGTTAAAACTTTTTGGAATTGGTCCTCTGAACCAATTTAGCAATCCTGTAAAAAAGGAATTAAATGAGTGTATGAGAGTGAAAACCCGTAACCAATTATAATAAAACATTAAATGTATTTCCTGATTTTCACTCTCATGCACTCAAATAATATTTGCGTTAGACGTGTAAAAGTGTCTCCATTTGGAATAATTTCATTTGACAAAAATTAGACTGTAACATCATTTACACGTTTAACACAAATATTGTACAATTCTTGTTTTTATAAGGAAAGTTTGACTCAAGCTACTTTTGATCAAGTTTTATAAACTCCTTGCATCCTTTTGCATAAATATGCATATTTATTCATAAAATATGCTTTATAAAAAATGTAAAATGAAATTAAACAAAATTAACAGAATGGACATTTTTTACACGGTTATGGAAGGAGTTTACATCATATACATAGCTAGCACTTACCATCCGTTGGGCACGGAATTTATTAAAGGATTGGAGCGGAAATAATCAGAGTGAAAGACCATAGTGCATTACTCTTAAGAATTTTGCCATATCGGCTCCTGCCAGATAAATTTTAGTACCGGTAATTCCTGTATAGGCTTTCATTCCGATTGGCTAATTCTTGTAGATCATTTCGTGATTTTACAAGATCTGATTGGAACCCAAAGTAAAATATTTCACAAAATATAACAGCATAATAGATACATTTGTTTAAATTTTGATAATTCCAATTATTTTTACTTTGGTCTAAGAGCCATTGTCATAAAATTCGATCGGATTTTTTTTTTTTAAAGTTTAATGTACTATTAAATATTGTTAATGGCCAAAACTGTCTACAAGAAATACCCCGAATCGACGCTGCATGAGTTACCGTTGACAGACCCAAAATGGTAAAGCGATCTGCACTCACCCGATCGACAAAGATGAAGGCTAAAATGAGTCAATGGGTTAATATTGCCAAGTCGTGAAAAGCTTGTGGCCGTGCTCAAGCTCAATCATGCGTCCGCATGATTTTTCGCAGCTGGGGGAACGACGTTGGAAGCGTTTTGAACGCCAAACGTTATTAAGGAACTAGAGGCTGTGGAAGTAAAAGAGTTAGTTAAAAGAGGAAAAAGGGTTTAAGATAATGAGGATAATACGTTAGCGTAATAGCTAAATTTTCGAAAATATTCTTCTTGCTTCTCTGTAAAATCCTTATAAAAAGGATGCATTTTCGCTTGAACAAAGGGTGTTCCAATCCCGCTCTACAAAAAAAATTAGTAAATAATAAAATTCTCAAAAATCGTCCCACAAAAAGTAAAAGACCAATCACCAACTAAAACGTTCTTTAAGTTATTTACTCCCCTGTAACGCTCCTTTACTATCGCTTTGACCTGCGCCAAATCGAAAAACCGCCTCTGCTACCCTTTAAGGAACGTTACGCGGCATAATCGTTTCTCAAGCGACAATTCGTCGCATCTGCTTAATTCTTGTTCTCGCCCTTATAACCTGTGATAATATGTTTATGAAAAGCTTGTACCAAAACTAAATTGCTAACAATAAATAATAACTGTAAATAAATCAAAATAGTAAACAATTGCAAGTAAAAAGTATACAAAACTCAAACCTATCTCCTATAGTTCGACAAATTTTATAGTTCTACCTATTTGATTTAAGCTGAACCCAGTTTCGACTCCCATCAATATTATAGTCTACTGTCTTTGTCTAACAAATATAATCTATACATACTATCAATCTTACAAAACCAAAAAAAAGAAGCTACAGGTCACCCTCGTTAATATCAACCCGTTAATATCAACCTATGCCACATTACAAAGTTTTATAAATTTTTATATATCAAAAATCCCTCATGTATGTCAACTTTAATATGATTTCTCATTAATATCACTATCAACATGATTTTAAACCAATCGAAAAGCATCAGTACGACTGGTTATGTAGTTGGATGAATGCCGGCTAGCCAAAGGTGCCGGAAATAAATTCAATTAAAGGACATGAAGTCCGCAGAATACATTATGACATTATGAGTAATTTAGCTAAGTAAATCGAACTGAAACGATGATATGCTCCCAGAAAATTAGCAAGTGAGATTGCGCCAGGTATCGTCGTAACAGTAGAACGAGCGAGAAGTAGAATGAGCGAGAAGCAGCATCAGCCGGTGATTTCCCGCCTGCTCGAAGCAGACCGGCTGTTAAATAGGAAAATGACAGAATCAGGAGACTGTTCCAATATTTTAGGTGTCGGGATTCTGCCATTGTCCCATGTCGGTTTGTGTTATCTAGTATGTGTCGTATCATGTGCATTATAGTCGAGCCTGTCGTAGTTGATATGTCGATGCTGTATCTTAGGTTACGTTAGATTTCTCACTTTTTTTTTTTTTTCTTATGTGGCTGGTAATAAATAGTTAGTGTTGTTGAAATTACAAGTGTTATCGTTACCAATATGCATTGTACTGATATTATGGGTATTGCATTATTGCACAACTCTGTATTTGATTATTGAACTTGATCCTGATCTGACATATTATATTTCTGTATTATTACCTTTCTCTTTGTTGGTTTTTTTTTTTTTTTTTTTTTTTTTTTTTTTTTTTTTTTTTTTTTTTATTTTTTTGTTTTTTATTTGTGTGTTTTTGTGGTGGGTTGTGTTCTTTTATTTTTCTTTGTTTTTTGTTTGTTTT